GGTTATTGCTTATGGAGCATGGAGTTTCATTTATGGTGACAGAAAAATTGCATTGATTAAGGGTAGGGTTAGACAGCCAATCAGTGTAATTGCTGTCAATAAGTTCAACACTTGTAAAAAGTTGAATCGGCAAAAGTTGTGTGATAAGTATATTTACAATGAAAACAACAAAAAAAGTAGCTGCTGCTGAGTCTGCTTATGTACAATGAAACACCTCAAGGGATTTGGTTCCTTGGTTTGGAGGTTTACGGTCACAGTTTCACAGGACATCCCAGTTAATTGGCCTAATACCGTGTTTAGTCCTTCTATTCTACCTCCTAGTTCACTGCATAGTGCCTGGGGTCCTAAAAGCTTGCAAGCGGCCATCCAAGGTACAACAATTGGTCTCTGTTCACCTAGAGCAACAGAGGAAGAAAGAGAGCCAGGAATAGGAGAGGGAAATGGAATGTGTGGCTAATTGCCTCCATGAACAACTGCCTCCTTGCCATGAGATCAGAAGAACTAGATGGTGCCCAACTACCATTACTGAACATTTTGATCAAAGATTCTATAGAAGAATCCTGATCAGAAGCGAGAAAATAAAGTCAGAATTTCAAATTCTCATGGGCTCTAGACTTTCTGGAACCACTGAGGCTGGATAAACCCCTGAAACTATTGCCCTCAGATAATCTTTGAACTTTAAACCCAAAATATTCCCTGAAGGCTTCTTTAAATCAAACAGCAGTTTAGCTTATCCAGTAAAGAACGTCTGCCTTAAGCATTGTGCTCTTTTAAGAACTATATGGGATCAACCCGACAACAGCAACTCGAAAGATCAGCTAGGAAACTTAGGGGGCAGTGAGTTTATGATAATGGAGGAGGAATAATTCAGAAAAGGGGGATGAGAATGGTTGGTTTTACAACATGAAAAATGTAATCAATGTCACTGAATTGTACATGCAGAAATTATTGAATTGGTGTATGTTCTGCTGTGTATATTCTCAACAACAAAAAATAAGTTAAAAAAAAAAACATTAAAATACAAAAACAATATTTAAAAAACCCTCGGTATCACAGAAGATTGGCCAAGACTTCATCTCGCTTACTTTGGATGTGTCACCAGGAGGGACGGATCACTGGAGAAGGACATCACGTTTGGTAAAGTGGAGGGTCAGTGAAAGAGAGGGAGACCCTCAACAAGACGGATTGACACAGGGGCTGCAACAATGGACTCAAACATACCAACGACCATGAAGATGGCACAGGACCTGGCATCTGTTCTACCTAACATTGCCATGAGTTGACACGACTTGACAGGCACAAACAAAAACCACTCCTGGGGCTCAGCTGCTGCAGAGACGGGCAGACTCAGCGAGAGGCTTTCCCCGTAAACCTCGCTGTAAACTGCTTTCTTAAAAAATATCTTTTCAAATTACCCTCTAATCTGCTTTTCTTCCTCAAAATAACCCTGGGCAGGCGGTCACAGGTCACAGCCCCAGGACGTCCTATGAGAGGAAGGAGAGCAGAAGGCTCCCACGACTTCCCCAGCCAGCCAGGGACAATGAAACCAATGATTTATTGTTTGCAGAAAGAAACAATGTAACTAAAGTGATATGCGTGAAGCTGATGCATTTGTTTCTAAAGCAACCTCTGGAAAAACAAAACGTCATACAAGAAAGTAATAACTGTCAGGTGCTACTTGGCTCAGCAACAGTATTTACTAGGGGTTAATGACATGAACACTGAAGGAGACTTACCAAACACTGGGCCATCACGGTATGGGGTGGAGGAGGTGGGAGAATCGGGGTCTAAGCCTCACCTTCAGTAACAGGAAATCAACACTCAACACTGACCAGCCAGGAAAAGGGAGCATCCTGGGTTTTTTAGGGACAGGGAGGGTGGCTAAAAGAAAAAGGCTCTGAGATTCAGAAGTGGCTGCTTCTGAGGGAGACCCAGGATTGGGTTGAGGAGTGGGCTATGTTTTCTGTCAGAAGTCTTCTAGATACTTTTGCACCAATTACTCTGATAAAATCTGTATCCTTGAACGACAACCACCTGCCTGCACCCCACAGCCCTTACACCAACCAACAAAGAGCAGGAGTGCGCAGAGCTGGCAGGACAGGGACAATCAGGGCTGGCTGAGAGGGACTTCTAGGTGGCCCGTGGTCCAGGTCACAGAGTAGGGTGGGGCCTGAGATCTGGAGGCCAAGTGCTCCTGCTCCATGAGACTGACTTGTTCTCACACTTCAAGGGCAGACCTGGACGTTGGTGGTATGCACGTTGGGGCCCCACTCTCTCCCACTGCTGTCAGCCCAGCGCCGGCATGGGGGAGCATGTGTGTGACCACATGGGGTGGAGGGCACACACCAACATCGGGGAGCACCTCCTAACATGGGACTGCACGTGTGACAGGGGTGAGCACGTGACACAGGGGAGCAGGTGTGGCATCTGTGTGCCTCTTCTCCCCAGAAGCCCCAAGGACAGCCTTTATGTGGTGGGACAGCCCCAAGGCAAACAGAGCACTGAATCTGCAATTGGGATGCCTGGGGTGGCCCTGGGAGCCAGTCAAGAACGGTCCTCACACCTTCCCAAACAGAGAGGCTCCAGATCTCCCGCGAGTACAAGCTCCTCCCCGTGTCCAGTGATAACTGGCACCTCATTGTCCCCCTATTACATCAGCCCTGGACCCAGAACTAGGGCAAGTCCTCATCTCTCAGAATCAGTGAGCCAGCGTCTATGCTGTCACCGCGTCTACACAGTTACTGTGTCTACATCGTCCCCGTGTCTACACAGGTCGGAGAGTACAAGGACAGCCAAGCTGCCGGCCGTCTTGGGAAGTGAGGACACTTGCAGGAAAGGCTGGAGCCAGAGCCGAGGTCCACACTCCCAGCTGCTTCCAGAGGCGCTGCCCACCCAATGGGAGGCACTGGACAGGCGTCCCCCTCCCTGATCAGCCCACCACATTCCAAGTGCCCCTGCCAGGGCCAGGGACCCTTCTCACCTCTGGACCCTCCACCAGCAGCCCAAACCCCCCGGCTGTCACCCTGGGTGCCCCTCCCCCTGGTCCCAGAGCCTTCTGCCAGGCCCCTCCTAGGCCCCTGGTCCTCTGTTCAACAGGGGAGGACAGGGATGGGCTGCCCCAGGGCCTTTGCACATGCCTTCCCACACCCTCAGAGCTGCTTTCTCTGTCTTCCAAATGAGGAGCCTGGGGTGGAGGTCTCCTGGACTTGCTGGAGCCCCGGGGTCATGGGTGGAAGCTGTGGTCTTGCTGAGGATGCTCTCCTGTGATGGCCTCTAACTCCTGTGTCCTCCAGTCATGCTGGCCTTCCCCGTGGGCTAATCTGATGATCTTCACAGAGACCACCTCCAAGCCCCCCTCCTCGCCCAGCCGCTGCCCAGCCCACTGTGCCATGCTCAGGGAGCTGCCACGGCTCAGTGCTGCTGTGGACGTGCAGGCGGCCGCGGCTGCCCAACAGCCAGCGTCCCAGGGCTCATCCAGAAAGAGAGGGCAGCCCGGCTGCAGGCTGGGTGCAGACAGCAGGGCACTACCAGCCTTCCTGAACCCGCTTGCTCAGCTCACTCATAAACACCACCTTCCTCCTACCTCCTTCTCGGAGGGAGGCGGGTCTGGTTTAGCTTTCCTGCAATCTCTAAAAGGAAGGCTGTAAGATCTTGCCAACTGTCTGGGGCGCTGTCTACCTCTCCTCCCACCCCACCTCCTTCTGTCCGTTAAAAAAGGTCTCCTCCCCCACCTCAGTTTCAGGGTGTGCTGTGTCCCTGCGACCCAGCAATAAAGGTGCCACCCTGGCCATCCCAGGCCACGGGCACTGGAGACCGGCGGTCGGGCCACCGGAGCAGGCTCAGACCCCGGTTCTCCCCACCCAGCTCGGCCAGGCCCAGCCGCAGGAACAAGGGAAGGTCGGGGCCTCCCCTGTACCAGGGCGGCGAAGAACAGGGCTTTGCTAAAGAGAGACCCCAACGCCAGGCAAAGCTCACCTCGCCCGTCCCCTGTTCCCCCCACAGACTCCGCCCAGGAGACAGGGTAGGGCGAAGGCGGTGGGCCAGTGGTGGGGAAGGTCTGTGCCGGCCCCCTGATGGGGAACCAGAGACAGGTGGGGCGGAGGTCAGGGGTGCAGGGCGGGAGGCAGCACTGGAGGCCATGTTTTCAGAAGGAAGTGGGGCCGCGGGCGTCCCAGAACCAGGAAAGGCCGGGTTCTCGGCAGCGGCACGTGATCTGAGTACGCTCGGCGCGGCTTCTGAGAAGTGGGGCTCCGCAGCTCGCGCCCGCCACGTGACACCCGGGGAAGGAGCCCGAGGGGCGAGGGCGCAGCGAGGCACGGAGATGCATGTCCCGCTGCACGTACGCGGCCACCGAGCGCATGCGGCGAGGTCCAGGGCCCGGGGAGGGAAGGCGCCCCGCGCGGGGACAGGGCCCCGGCCCAGGGGTGGCGGGCGCGCCCTTAGGGGCCCGGAGACAGGGAGACGGGTTGCCCCGCCCCCTCCGGCGACAGAACCCGGCGCCCACCTTGCGCGTCGCCGCCGCTGGTCAGCACGCCGATGGCCTTGCCGGCCCCTGACATCCGCAGCTTCTCCAGGTCCACGGTGGCCATGGTGGCCGCAAAACCGAGGGTCCACGCTCTCTTCCGCCGCCGGCCTGCGTGCGCGCCGCAGCCTCTGTTGCCGTCCCCGCCCTGCGCTGCCGGCGCCACCGCGCCCGCCTAGCCCGGGCCTCGGCCACCGGCTCCGCCCCTGCTCTCCGACCCCGCCCGCGTACCGCCACGGCCCCGCCCCGCGCACCGCCCCGTGCCCCGAGGGCCACCTTTGACGGGTGGAATCGCTGGGGCTCTGGCAGCAGGAACTCGACAGGCGAGGTCATCCCGCTGCCCAGTGCCGGAGCTGGGGCTGGTAGCCCGGCCTCAGCAAATACAAGGGACGCGGAGGTCCCGCAGCCTCCCCCAGTGGCCTCGGATGGGGAGTTGAAGGTGGGGCTCAGGCTTGGCGGCAGAGGGGGTCCGCCTGGGGCCAGGCGGGCTGGACCAAACATGTCCCTCTTCAGAGCTGCCCACATGCCCGTCCCCAGCCCAGGGGTCCCCCAATACTCACTTCAGTGCCCAAACCACCCAACAACTGTGGTGGCTAGCATCCCCCACTAGTTGGGAACTTGGGCAAAGTTGACCTGACCGTGGACATCTTTATTGTTTAAGTTTCTAAACTTGTTCAGTTTAACAAACATATCACGTTTATGGAAGGCCTATTTCATAAATGTCCAGGTGCTGTGAAATATAAACCTTTAACAAAACTGTTCAAGCATTTGAAAAGCTTCTTGGCTGTACCATAACCAGACCAAAGCAAAGAAGAGCAGCAAGGTCTGACTCTACAAGGGAGAGTCATTCCTTTGCCAAACACTGCTTATTGGGCTTCTCGGCAATGACTAAAAGTGACTCTTGCAGAATATGTAATGATAGGCCCATGTTTACTTTAACATTCTTTTTCAAGAAGTTTCTTGCTTTGGGGCATAATTGGCCTGGCTCCCATTCAGGGCACCTCAGTGAGGCTCCAGTCATCTGAAGGCTTGACTGGAGCTGCAGGATCCACTTTCAAGATGTCACACTCACATGGCTGTGGGTGGAAGCCTCAGTTTCTCACTCAGTTGCTCCCCACATGTCCTCTCCACAGGGCTGCTTGATTGTCCTTACAACATGGCAGCCAGCTTCCCTCAGAGTGAGTGATTTAAGGGGAAAACGCAGCAATGCTTTCTATGACTTAATCTCATATCGTCACTTCCATCACATTTCACTCATTAGAAGTGAGTGCCTAAATTCAACTTACAGAGAGAGGAATTAAACTCCACCACTTGAAGAGAAGAACATAAAAAAAAAAATTGTGGACATATCTTAAAAATGCCACAAGCCCCTTCTAGGGAAAGTGTGGGCAGCGCCAGCCTGAGTCCTGGGAAATGTACCACACAGTCAAGGCGCCTGGCAGGGTTGTGGTATGGGCAGGTCTGGATGTCAGGCAGGGATATATATGGTCAGAGGAGCGGGCTGTTCTGTATTTTCTTCTTCTGAGCACACAGAGGACCACCTCTGGCTCTCAGGAGAAGATCAAAGCAGGCTTTTGGGTTGGAATACATGTCCTCATTGCACAGCAGTGAAGGACAGGAAAGAGGAAGCTCATCAGTCAATGGTTAAACCAAGTCAGCACAGATAAGAATCTAGGCCACTCACTGCCGTCTGGCCTCAGGTTAAGGAAATGAAACAGCGGCAGGAAGGCATTAGCATGGACAGCCCTTACATTTTCTCCAGGCACACTGCCCCAGTGTGAACTGTGGGCCTTGTCCTCTGGGGCACAGCTGTCATCCTAGGATCACCATTTACCACTCATTACTGGAGCTCATGGTCACTGGCTTGGGAATCTTCTCTCTCTTCACTTCTGTGCTTGAGTAAGATATATCCTCCAGGAGCTTCCTGAGAAAAGGCTCATGGAGAGAATTTATTTTGAGACTCTGCATGTATGAAAATGACATTATTCCACCTTCATACTTGACTGAAAATTTGGATGCATCTAGAATTTTAAGTTGGAAATCATTTTCCTACAGAATTTTGAAGGCTTACTCCAACATTGCTACTGAGAAGTCAAAGCCATTCTGATTCCTCGTCTGTTATACATGACCCGATTTTTTCTCTCTAGAAGCTTGAAGAATCTTCTTTTTCTCAGGTGTTATGAGATTCCACAATGAAATGCTTTGGTGTGAGTAGGCTTCTGTCATGGATTGAATTGTCTCCCTGCCAAAAAATGTGTGTATCAATTTGGCTGAGCCATGATTCCCAGTATTGTGTGGTTGTCCTCCATTTTGTGATTGTAATTTTATGTTAAAGAGGATTAGGGTGGGATTGTAACACCCTTACTAAGGTCACATCCCTGATCCAATGTAAAGGGAGTTTCCCTAGGGTGTGGCCCGCACCACCTTTCATCTTATAAGAGATAAAAGGACTGGGAAGTGAGCAGGATGGGGGGACCTCATCCCACCAAGAAAGCAGGGCGAGGAACAGAGTACATTCTTTCGGACCTGAGGTTCCTGCACTGAGATGCTCCCAGAACAAGGGAAGACTGATGACAAGGATCTTCCCCTAGAGCCGACAGAGACAGAAAGCCTTCCCCTGGAGCTGACACCCTGAATTTTGGATTTGTAGCCTACTGGACTGTGAGAGAATAAATTTCTCGTTGTTAAAGCCATCCACTTGTGGTATATCTGTTATGGCAGCACTAGGTAACTAAAACAACTTCCCATGATCTTCTACATGTCTTTCTTTCTTTTTTTCTAATTTCTTAACTCAGGTTTGTTCTACTTTCAAAGAGGTTTTCTTAATGTGATATTGAAGATAATTCTGGAAGCTTGCATCTAGCTTCCTCTGGACTTTGCCCCCTGTGCCTTTTCCCTTTGCTGATTTTGCTTGATATCCTTTTCCTGTAATACATCATAGCTGTGAGCGCAAATATATGCTGAGTCTGGGAGTCTTCCTAGTGAATCTCTGAACCTGGGCATGGTCTTGGGAACCCTCAACACAAAGTGAAATTAGATACATGTGCTCAATCCATAGGCAAGTCTTGCAAGAAGTTTGACCATGATGGGTAGGACATGAATAGGTCAGAAGTGCCAGGAATATGTGAACAGGTGAATATAAACTTCCCCAATATGGGATAAACTTGTGCATATTTAAATATTTACAGAAAGGGGGGAAGGGTAACATATAGATCGGGAGTCCCTGGGTGGTACAAACAATGACACGCTTGCCGCTAATAAAAGGTTGGAGGTTCAAGTCACCCAGAGGCACCTCAGAAGAAAGGCCTGGTGATCTACTTCTGAAAAATCAGCCAATGAAAACCTACGAAACACAGTTCTACTCTGATGTGCCTGGGGTCACCATGAGTCAGAGTCAACTCAAGTCAACCAATACTGGTACAACTTACAGAGATTCTCAACCTCGGTAACCACTCCCCCCCCCAAAAAAAAAAAACCCACCACAGCTGTCAAGTCATTTTGACTCATAGTGACCCCATACGAGAGACTAGAACTCTCCTATAGGGTTTCCGAGGCTGTAAATCTTTATGGAAGCCAACTTCCACATCTTTCTCCCATGGAGCAGTTGGTGGGTTTGAACCAGCAACCTTTCAGTTAGCAACCAAGCATTTAAGCACTGCGCCACCAGGCCTTCTCTTTAACCTCAGTACTGTTGACATTTTAGACTGTGGCTTAGGCTGGGTTCTCTAGAGAAGCAAAACCAGCAAAGCATATAAACATATATAGAGGGAGATTAATATTAAAGAAATGACTCACGTGATTGTAGAGGCTGCAACATTCCAAGTCCATGGGTGAGGCTGGAGGCTTCTTCTGATGTAGCCACAGGGGCTGGCAAAATCAAGATCAACAACTCAGACAGCAGGGCTCTGGCTCACAGGCTGCAAAAACTGACTAATCCCAAGATTGGCAGGCAAAATGGCAGGTAAGCTGCTAGTTCAAGTCCCAAGAACCAGAGGTCAGATGAACAGGAGCCAACTGCAGGATCCAGTGCAAACAAAAGCTCACAAGCCTTGCCAGAAAGTCTGCCTATATTGAATGCAGGCCACACCCCCAAGGAAACTCCCTTTCAACTGACTGGCTACTCACAGCAGATCCTATTATGGAGGTGATCACGTTATATCAAATCTCATCACGGAGGTGATCACATCATTCTGTGACTCCCAAACTATATTGTACTGCCAAACCACTAAGAATCATGGCCCAGCCAAGTTGACATACAACCATAACGATCATAGTCCACCGCTTGTCAAGTTGGCACCTGTACACTTCTCCTTAAACCGGGCATAATCTCTGATGAAGACAATTATAAAGTCAGACTTGCCCTGGAGGATCCACTTTCAAGATGGCACACTCACGTGGCTGTGGGTGGAAGCCTCAGTTTCTCACTCAGTTCCTCCCCACGTGTCCTCTCCACAGGGCTGCTTGAGCATCCTCACAACATGGCAGCCAGCTTCCCTCAAATGGGTGATGCAAGGGGGAAAAGCAACAATACTTTCTATGACTTAATTCCATACTGTCATTTCCATCACATTTCTTTCATTAGTAGCGAGTGCTGAAATTCAGCTTACGGAGAGAGGAATTAAGTCCCACGTCTTGAAGAGAAGAGTATAAAAAAAAAAAATTGTGGACATATCTTAAAACTGTCACAAGCCCCTTCTACAGAAGGTGTGGGCAGCGCCACTACAATTGGGTTTGAACCAGCACTGCAAGTCATTTTTAATAAGTACATAATATGATAAAACTAACACACATAACTGAAAATGCACTAGCCCTGTCTACATCTTATATTTTATAAGTGAAGAAAACAAAAATATTTGACATACACATACAAAGCAGAAATACTCATAACAATTAGAGTCCTCGTTTCTACAACTGGTCACATGGTCATAGCTGGTATTTAGAGCTATCTTCTTCTACCACCCACTCCGTATTCCCTTTGCCCTCAGCAAGCATCTCAGCTGGTCATGGTTCTTTGCCTGGTGGGGTGACCCAAGCCTTAATTCCTAAAGGGTCTGGGCCATTAGTAGTCAATTTGGAATTGGGTTGCTGTAGTTTTCCACTGACTTTAATCGCAGGGCAGGGTAGTACTAAGAGTCGCCC